TTAAGTGATCTCAGCTGGAAGCATGGTAAGCTCTCTGGGAAGTGTCTGAGGAAATCCCAGTTTCCTCTCATCACAGCATGTTGATCTCTGGCTTCAGCTTTTTAACCAAATTAAGTGTGAATGAAATGATAAAGATGATAAAAGAATTTCCATGACTGATTATATTAGTAGGAATGTTATATCAAGGATGTCTCTGTCTCTTTCTGTCTGATTTTTTCCTCTCTCTCCCTCTCTCCCACCTTCCCTTCATCTCTACTTTGACATTTAAGTTCACATCAGTCTCTCTTGGTCAGGTATCTGTGATAAGCCAGGGAACCCAGAGACCAAGCTGCCACTGGTTCACTGGGACGCCTGACCCACAGCGTTCAGTGTTTAAGCCTTTCATCTTTACCAACAATGTCAAGATATCTCCACATATCCAGCCCCCCCAAGATTCTGCGAGGAAGATCCTGCCAAGGTAAGACTGGAGGATGGTGTCACTTAGAAGGCTCGCAATTTTCTGAAATATATTGATTAAATTTTTATTTTACATGTCATTGTTTAGTAGAAAAATTAGTATTTTGCCTGTTTAACACCTAGTGTGACCAGTACAGTGTCCTGTATTAAGTCCCATTTTTGAGATGCTTACATATCTAATCCTACTAGTTGTGAACACATAATCTTCAGTGAAAGTGTCTCATGGTGAAGCAGGAAGAGATAAGCTACCTACATCTGATGACAATAATGATGATAATGATTCCACCTGCATCCCACAGGTGATTCCACGCTTTGCCAAGAAGGTGAACCGTACTCACTTGTTGTACCGAAGGCAGCAGGCAGCCACAGAGAATGGTGGGAGCATCGTGGATACACTGAGGGAATTGGAGAGAAATTGTGTGAGGGAAACAGAAGCTTGTCTGGAAAGCTTTGACCCCGAAAGGTTATGCGAAATGGATGACCTCTTCAAAGATTGTGTTGATTCCGAGCTCAAGTTTTATAAGTAATTTTTCATTCCTTGCTCCTCTTTCATAATACCAAAACATGCATGCTAGTTTGTAAATCAACAGGGTTGACTTTCAGGCTCTTAGTTTGGAGGCTTATGATAGCTGTAACCTCATCCAGTTACTTATATTATCATCTTTTTTTATAGCCTAAATTAAAAAAGGTGAATATTATTTGTAACATTCCTTAATTACTGTTATCATTTTAAAGCCTGCTGAAACAGTCTATAGAAAAATAAAATTATAAATTTACTAGGAGGAGACTGGCTCGTCATCACAAATTGCAGTATATGCAACAAGAAAATTTTTAGTTTTGTCATTTTCCCAAGTGGGAAACGAGCCTTTGTGCATGAGCGTATATTTCCTGGCAAAGTTTTCAAATGAGTTCTTCCACTGGCATCACAAGTTTGGTGATTTCCTAAGCCACAGTATTTATTGATAAGGTTTTTTGGTACTACTTAAGCATCCGAATACGACATCAGTAGTCTGTAGTTAACACATTATCATAATCACCGCAAAAGAGGCCCAGTCGCAAGGTGACCGCTGCAACAAGCATTAGCCCGAAGAGAATCACAGCAAATGCAACTAGGCTATTGTGGACAAGTGGTACGTCACCATGCAGAGGGGATGCAGGCCACTTGTCAGGGGAAAGGCAGGGGGTAGGGGGGTGGCAAGGCTTCTAGACTTGTTCTCTGTAGAAGGATAAGAACTGTGCTCATGAAAAGATATACACACACACACACACAGGCATGAATATACACACATACACACATGCCTGCATGAATATAGACACACGCACCCACATGCACCCAAACACACACGCATACCCACACACAAACACACACACTCACACACTCACACACTCACACACACACACACTCACACACTCACACACACACACACACTCACACACACACCACACACACACACACACACACACACACACACCACACACACACACACACACACACACACACACTCTTTCACACCACACACACACTCTTTCACACTCACACATCTTTCACACACACACTCTCTCTCACACACACACACACACACACACACACACACACACACACACACACACACACACACACACACATACACACACACTCTTTCACATTCACACACACTTTCATACTCACACACACACTCTGTCACACTCACACACACACTCTTTCACACTCAGACACACACCTTTCACACTCAGACACACACCTTTCACACTCAGACACACACACACTTTCACATACTCACATACACACACACTCTTCTCACACTCTCACACACACACACACACACACACACACACACACACACACACACACACACACACACACACACACACACACACACACACACACACACACACACACACACACACACACACACACAGTGTCCTGTATGACAGTACATGCCTGGAAAATAAGAGGGGTGCGGTACATACCTCTATGGTGATATGGTACATACCAAAGATTTTGTGATATTAACTTCAGGATGCATTTACAAAGCGAAAAGAAAGAAAAAGAAAATTAATGACCTTGACCTAGAGTGCTGTTTCCTTAGACTCAGCCAAGTAGGAGTCTTGGTGACTTGGGAGGAAAGCAGCAATACCATGATTATCTATATGGTTTTATTATCATAATTATTATAACCATTAGCCCTCCAGATGTTGACTGTTTTTCTGAGCAAATAAGATTGGCAATACTGGAACAAGTGGCCTCTATATCATATGCTCTCCTTCCATACCAAGAACATAAGTCCATTGAACAGTTTGCAATTATGTGTCAGAGGTCTTGAACAAAATGTCTTTGTAGAAATTTCAGGATGTCTTTATTTTTTTATTTCTTGCATGAGATTTATATTTACCCAATTGGTATTTTGCATTTTAATTTTAGTACAGCATTTTTTGTGAGATTATTATGTTTAGTGTGAGCTCTAAAAAAGAAGGGATGGCAAAGGAAGAGATGTGGCAATATCCCATGGCAATGGTTGTACACTTTTTCTTTTTTCCTAAACATATCAAGTTTCATTGGACTTGGGTAGAATAAGTCTGGATGACGGAGACTTAACGTTTGATCCAGCAGCACTCTTGCCCTGGTTATTTACCCATTGTGCGCTCCAAAATTGTGCTTGTAGCCAAGGAACTGAAGTTTTTGAAACTGTCAATATGTAGCTATTTTAAAAAACAGATTTTTAAAATTTTGGAGAACACAAAGCTAGATGCTGTCCCTTGAAAGGGTGATGCTTCCACTGAATGACTTTTCAGTAGTTGGCTTTATCTCCTTTTTTGTAAGATGTGTTCCCAATGATTGGACATTGCTGACCAACATAAGGCAATGGAAGGGGAAGAATGATGAGCTTGGTCAATTCTTAATGGTAATTTATGGGCTTATATAATGTCCTGAAATTAAAATAAACCACTTCTTGCTTTTTCCCTATTTAAAGTATAAATTGCATATTTATTCCCTTCATAGAAGTGCCTCAGACAAGGTTATCCAACCTCCTTCCCCCTCCTCTCTTGATTGGTATGTCTGTATTAAAAGAAAATTATCAATTAATAAAATGAAATAAAAGAAACGGACTACTGGTAATCCAATGTATAGATGCAGCTAAAACTGGCTTCCTGTGATGGCCAAAGACCACATTCCAGTATCCTGTGAATCGTGAGCTTCATTACCAAGCTTCCCAACTATAGCCTTTGCACACTCTGCCAATATTGTGAATCCCTGACAACACTTTACATTATGATTTTCCTTTTGGTAGCCATCTGGTGGTGTTGCTGAGAAGTTAACTTAGTTCTTGTTTAGTATGTATCACGAGAAGAAGCACTGGTGTTTGGTTCGCTTTCTAGGCTCACTGTTCAGATTATATATATATATAAAAAAGATGAGAAAAGAAGAAAGAAAAAAAAAAAAAAAGTATTGGAAATAAGTATATATATTTTTTTCTTACTATTCATGTTTTCCTTCTGAATATGGCTGACTATGTTTTGACAGTTATTTTCTTCTTTTTTCTAACTACTAGCACCTTTACCATCCTGCACCACTGTTTTAGAGATGGAGTTGTCCAGTTCCCTTTGCTCTGTAGCAGGAGGCAACACTCACCAACTGTCTATAATAAAGCCTGCAATTTAGGTTGTGTTTTATTACCTTTTATCATGGTGTCTGACCCTTGAAAATTTACTTAAAACTTGACATAATGCAGCCTCACGGAAATGCACGTTCCAGACTAAATAAATTCTGGCATTTATTTTTTTTATAACTTTAATAAATAAATAAACATATATATATATATATATATATATATATATATATATATATATATATATTATATATATATATATATATGTATATATATATATATATATATATATGTATATGTATATATATATATATAATATATATATATATATATATATATATATATATATATATATATATATATATATATATATATATATATATATTACATACATACATACATATACATACATACATACATATATATATATTTGGTATTGGTAAAGTAAGAACAGAAATATTAACGAAAGTTCAGGTTAGAGAAGACCATGACTGAGTATTAGAGGTCCAAGTTTGCAATTAATTTTATATTTCTACTCAGTGCAATTAATGTGAAAGCATTAAGTCTGTCCTCAGGTCCTGAGAGAGGAATAAGCTTAATGGTGCTCGAGTCTCCACACATGCTTCCAAATTACCTATTTTCATATAGGCACCTGAACAAGTGTGCTTGATCTGAAAATGAAATATGTTAGCTACAGAAACATCTATGTTTTAGTAATATCTTGAGAGGGTATTACAATGCTCATTTCCTCCTAAATAACAAACTGGGAGTATTCACACTTCCCCTTTTAAACACTATACTATATATAGTTGCTCTATCCTAAACTGGTCCAGAAGCCTTATCCATATTTTAATTAAGGTAGCTGATTTGTTCAGATTGTGTACATATTGCTATCCATTCATTATCATTTAGTCTGAACATTAGGAGTTTTCACATCCCATAGTTAGATCTATTACACAGTAAATTAAAAGATTGTAATATATAAATTCCACTTCCACTTTATACAGACTGTTAACATCCAGGCCTTTGTCAAGGACAAATTTTTTTTTTTGAAGGAAACTTATTATTTCTTTGTTTTAAAGCAACGATGAATTGAACAAATAAACAACACTAAACACTGAGCAATGTATGTGGAAAGCTAGGGTCTGTCTAGGTTGAACTCTGCCCTATAGCATTATCTAATTGATACAACTATAGACCATGGTCTGCCTGGCAAGTTTTTTCTATACAGGCCTTTTTTCCCAAAATAACAATCTTATGGCTGAACTAATATATATATAATTATATATATATATATATATATATATATATATATATATATATATAGAAGAGAGAGAGAGAGAGAGAGAGAGAGAGAGAGAGAGAGAGAGAGAGAGAGAGAGAGAGAGATATTGTGTGTGTGTGTGTGTGTGTATTGTAAAGAAGTATAGACCCCATCAAAATGTTTCTTAATGTATATTTACTTTGAAGACCTATCAATATAGCAAAATTTAGTGTTATGATTGATAGAGTGAATTACAACAATTATACGGTTGGTTTACTTAAATTATCAATTCAATGGGGGTTAAGTAATGAGCAATTATGTCCTTGCAGTTTTTCAGACATGTCAGAGAAAAAGGGTCAAAATTTGTGGTAAAAACAACAAACTATGATGTAACAGCCATTCCCTTTGTTACTTTCTTGTTTACTGCACTACATAAAAGAATATATAACAAATACACTATTAAGCCAATAATGTAGCATCATTCAACAACATAAAATGAACCTGCATCTCTTTATAGAAAATGTATTTGGTGTAGAACTTAAGAAAATGCGACATTGAACCTGTAATCTTGATTTATGTAAAAAATAAGACTGTTCATAGTGAGTGTGTTGCAGGGCTGAAGGTTTAAATTCACTCTATGGGACTGTCTTTACCTTTGGTGATGCCCTGCTGAAGCGACATCAAATGAAATTTCCGCCGCAATGATATTTGTCTGCCACATTTTTTCAGTTCATACCATGATGGTTTAAAGATTTTTTGTTTGATTTATTTGAACAAATTTTCAATTATTGCTCTAAATGTTATTTTCATTTGCATTAAACCATCTGTAATTATAAAAATAATAATAATAATAATAATAAATAAATAAATAAATAGATAACAAAAAAGCCAACGGAAAAAAAATGTAGTTACATCACCATCCGTCAATCATCTTGTTTCCATTTTCCATTTCCATAGAACTCTAGCCCTGGTCATGCTACTCATATTAGAATTAGGTAAATCAAAGTTGGGTTTTCTTCTTTTCTCTAAAATCCAAAACTGTGGGTGGTGGTGGTCAAGGTGCATTTCCCTATCCAATAATAGCATACAGTATTTTCATGATTTTCGAAATCCCAAAAATTTTTACTTGGATTTCCAGATTTTCAGACAGATTTGTTAGGAATTTCTGGATTTCAAGAGTTTTCTAAAGTTCTCAAAGTCGTTTCAAAACCACTGAATCATCATAATGTTTCAAAAACTAAGCTTTTATCAATAGTTACTTCACAGGTACTGTATGAAATACATTCTATACCATAAAACATGCCTCTGTTTAAGGTTACTGCAACCCTTCACAGAAAAAAAAAATCTATTTTTTGTCATAATCTGATGGATTAACCTCGTGCTTCACTATCTGAGTATAATTCAAACCAACTCACTTCCAGAAATAACCACAATTACTTGGAAATTTTAGCATTTTTAAAGGAGCAATCCTGCTTCTGAAAAATGTGGGAATGGAAC